AAAATTGTATATAGAAAGGACAATGTTGAGGAAGGTACGATTCGGGTCGCATCCCCTTTTCCAGTTTTGGCCCACGTGTCACTTGTAGCTAATAACAATCGTGCACATATTGGGCACTGAGCGACTGTCGTTTAGCAGAGCAACATCCTTTGAGTTAAAATAGAAGCGTTTGCATCCTGTGAACCATGTGGTGGAAAGCGGCCATTTTGTGTCGATGGAAATGGTTTGAAGTGCTTGGTATTATTCTCTTTGAATTTGTTGGTTTCCTATAGATTTCGAAATTGAACGAATACGTTTCGCTGATGATGAGAAGCTCTAAGAAGAGGAGTTTGCCGTCTCTCTCTTCTTCGTGAGTAAATTTGATGTCCTTGTGAACGTTGCTTATGGATTTTTGATAAATCTTTCCGTTTTACAATGCTAAAATGCCATCCATGTACCTATACCAACACTTGAGCCACAAATTCCCATCCGCCAGAATATTTTCTAGGTTAGCCATGAGCAATTCACATAAAAATGGAGAAAGTGGATTGCCCATAGGAGCACCTTTAGTTTGTTTATAAAAATTTCCTCTGGAAATGGCATAATTTTCCTCCATACAAAGACGAGTAAGCTTGAGATATTACCGAACTTTGTTTTTCCAAGTAGAATCCTCACGTTGCTTCAGAAGCCAGTCCTCTAAAAGGCTGATGGCTTCCATTACTGGTACACTCGGAAAAAGTGCTGTGACATCAAATGCAACTCATTCCAGAATGTCTGGAGATTCACGCCTATTCCGATGTTACTTTCACTTACAATAAGCCCCGCATGTATGTATTATTACCTCTACCAATTGGATATTAGTATTACACACACCCACACTTTCAGTTTCAAAATGTCCTTTTGAATCCTGGCACGTATTTAGTTTAGGTTTTTTTTTTTTTAATTGTAAAAAGTATTTGAACTTATCCTGCAAATCCATGTTTTTCTCTACGCTTTGCATCTCATTTCGTGATTCATCTTTGTCGTAATACTTCCTTCAACGAACACAAATTGTCTTGCATTGCCATGGGAGAAGGTTCGCGTCTAGTGCTTTCCACAGGAACCTTTCGTGGCCACCAGATACCCGTCCAGTCTTGGGCGTATCTAACGAGGCATCTTTCATATTGCTCACAATCTACGACACCAACATAGCGGAAAACTTGCTGATCCAAACTCGGAGAACCGAGCTCCCGAGAGGCAATTTTCGACACCGAACAATGAAACTGAAGCTGCGTCGTAGATTTTAAGAAGATAGTTTCAAGGTCAACCGAGTCACTCAAGGCAAACACAGGCAAAACACGATATATCACTAAATGATAACTTTAAGAACACTTGACAGTGTTCACTCGGCTGTCGACAAAAGCAGACCACTCTCGATGTGTGCTACGCGATCGTCTGTTTTCTCGGCAGCAACCATTGTGTGGTCCTCCTCATTGTTCTTCATCAGCAGTTCTTTCGGTCGATGCGTCGTCGACTTTGGAAAGCAACCGTTTCGTGATGAGTGTGTGAGTGCTAACCACGTTTTGCGTCCATTGCTGCAATGGACGCGCTCTGACCCTCGTTGGCGTACAACAATATGCCATACAATGAAACTACTGGAAGCGGCTCCAGTTCTGATGGAGGAGGCTTTTTGGATAGTGGAAGATAAAGTGTTTATTGTGTTGTATCTTTTGACTATATTTTTAAGATGTATTGTATAGTGACCAAGAATCCTCGGCTCTGTAAAGTTAATTCGGTTGAGCCTTACCAAATAAATACATAAACAAAAAAAAGAACACTTGAAACTTGAAAGCAAAACATGCTTAATTCGCTGACGAAAAATACGCAGCAAAAGAAAAACACGTCAGCTTTCAAGCACGGCCTACTGCGATCCTCAGTGGTAAAGGGTTTAGGCATATTTTGAAATTCCTTTACTAGCCATTTGGCCGGCTTATGAGTGGGGGATCCTTCAACCGAGATAATCTCTCTCTCTCATTTCGTTTCCTGGTTTGTGAATCTTTGGTACACCTTTGATCCTAGGTAGATTAGGGTTTGAAACTTTTAATTGATTCGTAGTGTTGCCAATAAACGCCTTCAACGTTTTATCCACACAAATGAGAGGGGGTCAATCCTCAACTGCCTGTATGGGCCATAAGTAATTTTTTACGCCATCCGATTGTCATAGTCCTCTTTGTCCAAAATCACTACTGCATTACCTTTGTCCGCTTTTGTATAGAACACCAGCTTTGTTTTTAGTTCATAGAGAATTCGAATTTCCTCTTTTCGGTTTTGCTAAGTAAATGTCCCTTTCCGTTGCCAAAACTTGCGCTGGAGCTAGAGACTTAAAATCAATTATTAGATGTTTCGTGATGCAAAATTAACAGATTTCGCATCACCTTATTATTCAGAATGCTTTAAACTTCATTTTTAAGTTATCAGATGCGACCCAACATGGGGGTTTATAAAATGTAAAAAACAAAGAATCCTTACTAACTAGTGCCAACTAGCATTGGGCGATCTTGAGGCAAGAATCGATCTTAGTGAATCAATAATTTTTTTTGAAAATAATCATTTTGAATCGATCTTTTTGAATCGATATTTTTTTTTTCAAAAAAACACATTTTTCAAATATAACGGATCATAGGAAAGTTGGTGCAAATTAACGCCAAGTTCAGCATAAAGTTTATATTACGTTACATAAGCTACACAAGATGTTATGGCATTTCCCTTATAATAGTCATTTAGTGTGATGATTGATATCATTTAGAAGTAAATTGTGTAGTACGACCGCAGTAAACGTTGTGAGTGTATAGTAAATGACTATTTTTATTTCATTTGACATGTGGAAGTTTTTGCTCAGGATACTTGATTTGGTGAGTGATTTAAAAGGTTTATTGGAATTAAATGAACGATTAAAAAAAAAACAAAAGATTAACATATGAAATAAAACGATTACATGGTCGGAGTGTAAAAGTAGGTAAGTACGGAAAGTACTTTATTCAGATATCCCAAAACTCATTCGAAAAGGACTCCAAGAAAGCTAATTGAGCCATGCATTTTGAATTGAGCCGATATCGATTCTGTGTGGTTTCACCAGTTTTAGAGAATAGCCTCTCTGACGGAACACTTGTTACCATTATTGATAAATAGTTTCGAGCAATGGGGTATACATGGGGATATTCAATACGGATTTTCTCTCATTTTTGAGAAGAATCGACAGAACGTGGGAAAACAGGCTAATGTAAGAAATTTTGTAATTATGCCGATATGCCCCCATGGCGATCCAGTTCTGACATAGCAGAGGACTGATGCACCTGAAATATGTCATAAGAAGTGAATGTTTGAACATATGTAGATTTTAACTTTCTTTACCATTTCGCCTCCGGTTGGTTTTGGTGAGGGGACAGATGTATGCTCTTTCGGTACTATAGATCTGCTCCGATACAATTTTTACTGCCCGAGCATGAGCTAAAGACTCCAATTACAGTGTCTTGACACGGGGATCAAGGAGCGTTGCAATAGCAAATGTATCCAGCAGCTCAACGTTAAAAAGGTCTATAAACATCTCTGGAGCCCCAAACTTTCTCTTTCTCGTTCTTGCCTATTGAACTGTCACACTGGTTGTTTGGCAGAATCCATGTTCAAGGCAAGTGATGTGCAAAGCTGAAGACAAAAAAAAAATCAATATTAAATTGTAAATGCAAATGCAAATGCAATGAAATTTTCTTTTTGGATCGAAACAAAAATCGAATGAAAAGGATCGATCTAGTCAATTTTTGTCATGTTTGGGATCGATTGAAAAAATCGATTAATCGAACCAAAAGAATCGATCTTCTGTGTTTTGATCCAAGATCACCCATTGCTAGTGCCAACACTGGCTTACTTAACCTTTATCAGCCATTCCATAGCAAAACAATATAGTTGTTCTCAGAATTTCGTAAAAATTCGTTATTTCATTTCTTATCGCAATAGATATTAGAAACGTACATTTTAAAAAATTGGGATTTTGTACCGAAGACATTGATTGGTTTTATTTTTTTTTTTTAGTTTTCATGGTTTGTAGACAGGAAGTGGAATATAATGTTATATTTTTCCTTAAAAACTTAGGCTAAAAAAAAATAAATAAAAAATCTGCTGTGTGTTTATTTTTCGTTTTTGAATTATATTTCTTTGAAGTTATCAAGTTTTTGGTTTTCGCTCAATACTATGTAACAGTCACTTTAAGTCAATGGAGGCGCATGAAAGTCTAGTCACATAGGAGTATTGAACGAAAACTTGAAACTTGCTAACCTAAAAAAAATGTAACTCAAAAATACAAAAAAAAAACTGATATTTTATATGTTACGTAAAAAAAACCCTCAATTTTCCAGGAAATATACTAACAAAAAAATTGTGGTACCCTCCAAACCATAAAAAAAAAAAACAAATACAATCAATGTTTTTGACAACAAAATTAATTTGTTTTTATATCATTATATTTGTACTAAACAAAATATTTGTTAATAAAAAAAAACAACGAGTCTAATAGTTAGTGATAAGAAACAAATCTACCAATTTTTATGAAATTCTAAGAACCATTCTATCGCTTTGCTATGGAATGGCTGATATAGAAGCTTCCATGGAGCCGCCTCAAGCTTGGTACCGTACATTTAATGACTTAGCTATTTGAGGCCCCAAAAATATCAACACTATCAACAAAACTTAAAAATTAACAAGGACTAAGATGTGTCCCTTTGGCTACTGAAAACCTTAGTTTGAAGTTGTCAGGATTATAGTTCAGTGGAAAACCGTGACGCACCACTATGAGGTGATCTACCCACGTTACGGGTTATGAGTGTATGAACATTGATTGATTTTCTTGGAACTTCGACGTTCAGAGATGGTCAGGAAAGAAGACAAGATGACTTCAGAGGACTACAAGTGCTTGCGGAATGATTGGAATGAGCATACCTATGGTAATAATTTATTGACAACGGTCCAAAGCCAAATAAATGTGTAAATTTCTATCTTCAATAGTGCTGATCGATGTTGGCGTAGCTCTCTCCATGTGGGTGGTGGGCATGTCCGACGCGCTGCACATGTGGCTGGAATCCTCCCTTGTGGTCCGAGCTGTAGTCCACGACGCGGTGGGTGCCATCGGCCTCATCCAGAGTGTACTGTCCCTTCACGACATCTCCATCGCGGTGCTCCCAAGCGCTCTTGTGATCGTGGGTGTGTCCATCCTTGACGCCGTACTCGAACTTGTACTTTGGGTGGGAATGATAGTGATCCTCATGCTGACCGTGATCTCCTTCGTAGTACTGGGCGGAGGCAACAACGGCCAGACAGGCAACCAGAGCGATGATCTGTGCATAATGCCGTTCGTCAGTGGCCAATGCGGGCCAATTTCGATTTCAATGTAACTTACCTTGAACATCTTGGATTTCCTGTGTTTGGTGGGGTTTGTAATGCTGATTGTTGGAACGCCTCTTGTAAACTGATGCCAAATCCAATTAGCTGTAAAACTTTTATAGTGGTTTGTGATTGTTTGACTTGTTTTCAAATTTCCATTATCTGCTTTCCTTTTTCACGGCATGTTCGCATGCTATTTGCTTGAATGCGTTTCAATGTCGGTGACTGCAGATTCTCACCCAGCATTGCATCGGATCATGCTTTAGAATCTATGTCGCGTTACAAGGAATTACAACCACATCTTGGGTCAGTATCGTAATAATATTAAGGAATTCACGAAAAATATCAAGCATCGTACGATTTGTTACATGATTAGACTTACAATGTCTTGAAATATTTAGATCAAGTCTCTTTCCATTTTCTGTGATTGCAAGTAATTAAGTGTGACTGTCTTCGGAGTTATTGAAATAAAGCAACATGGCGAATTCAATTTGCTGTAAAACCAAAGCAGCCTATTTTTGAGATATGTTTTATAAATTTTGCACAATATTATGTATCCAGTACTTTATACGATTATTTCTGTGATTTTCGATAAGTATTTTCAAACAAAGCTCAAGTCGTGCCTTCAAAAGTCAAACATCAAATCGAATGCATTTAAAGTTAACTCAATCAAACAGGCATAATGTGACATAACAGTTTAAGAAAGCTGGCAAAACTAATGAAATAAACCTAACCTATCCTAATAAAAGTGAGACTCAAAACAGAATTCGAAAACAGACCACCTTCCTCACGGTAGTCACATTAAGCAGCATTTGAACATGCCATGCAGAAGAAAAGCAGAAAATGAAAAATAGCAAACAAACCCATATGCCACCAACCAGTATAAAAGTTCCACTGCTAATTAGATCTGGCATCAGTTCACACAAAGCAGTCTAACACACATCATTTCAAGCCCCAACTTACACAGGAAATCCAAGATGTTCAAGGTAGGTTGTATTATAATCGAAATTGATCCACATTGACCACTGACGAATGACATTTGTGTTTTGCGCACAGATCATCGCCCTGGTTGCCTGTCTGGCCGTTGTTGCCTCCGCCCAATATTACGGAGGAGATCACGGTCATCATGAGGATCACCATCATTCCCACCCAAAGTACAAGTTCGAGTACGGTGTTAAGGATGGACACACCCACGATCACAAGAGCGCTTGGGAACACCGCGATGGAGATGTCGTGAAGGGACAGTACACTCTGGATGAGGCCGATGGCACCCACCGTATTGTTGACTACAGCTCGGACCACAAGGGAGGATTCCAGCCACATGTGCAGCGCGTCGGACATGCCCACCACCCACACGGAGAGAGCTACGCCAACATCGATCAGCACTATTGAAGACTGAAAGTTGCAAATCAGTTTGTCGATGGTTCTGATCATCGATTGTTGTAAATAAACTATTTACTTTCAACCACTAATTTGATACAGAATTATTTTGCACTCATTGCTACTTGTCCTTTGATAGCAGTCATATGTATTGAGAATATCGGAACGCCGGGATCCAAATCGAAGTCAATATGTCATAAATTTTTAAAACAACCTGAACATTACAATCTTTCCAATGTTATCGCAAGTTAGCGTTATTTAAGTAGGTCCGTAGCTGTGATTTTTGTTTTATTTTCTTGGTTTGTTTTCCATCGATCTTGTTTTCCGTGCTGAGCACCAATGCTACCGACGTGCCAGGAAGGCAGCTTCCACACCTGGACCCTACCTATCGACCCATCAACTCATGAACCGGGGACCAACGGCTTTACTTCCCTTCCGAAGGAAGACGTGATCAGATATGTTATGCCTCAGAACATACCGGCGGCGCCGACTGGGATTGAACCCAGGCCTGCTGGGGTGAGAGGTAATCACGCTTACCACTACACCACCGGCACCGTTGTGTGAATATTGATGAATTCTGCTTATTTATTGACAACCCATGAATCAACGTTTGCTCTGCAGGCTGGGGTTGTGAACCGATACTCTATACATTTCGTCATGGTTCACTGAAGTTAATATTGTTTTCATAAAACCGATGTATATTCAACTGATAAATGTTCAAGAACTAACCTGGCCGATAAATTAGAACTATTTGCACCATGAGCCAACAAACCGTGTTGAAAGACATCAGTTCCCGAAAACTGCGGTATGCGAAACTGCGTGGTTCACCGAGGTTCTTCTAAAAACGGTTTAGGTTAAATGTTCTAATTTCTTCGTCACGCTGGTTCTTGACCATTAAACTGATGCAAAATTTTAAATTTTCGCTCCACTGTACTCAAACGGTTTCAAATCAGGTCCTGATTAGCCTCCCAATATTTAAACTCATTTGGTAAGAAATTGATTTGGCACAAACTATTCGAAGTTTATATGGAAATTACTATGGGAAAACCAAACTTTTTGTTCATTGTCTTCTACCCATTTTTCATATTGATTTTTCAGAAATTACTATAGCTATTTTAACGGGAAATTCTCTAAGCTACAACTTTGCGGAATATCTCAAATTTAAATGATATTAATTGTTTAAGAGATTGATACTTTTATGGCATGATCAAGCAGCTGTTCTGTGGGCAACACTGCATTCTGCAGTGTGACATAGTAGCCATGATATTTGTGCTCTATTCTTCGCCCCAGAAACACCAATGTTGCCTGCTGAACAGTTGAATGAGCATAATCATAAGACATCAGTGACTTGAATCTTTAATAAATTTTGTTTCTTACATTTGATTGAACAGTGGTTCTGAACAAAGCTGTAGCTGAGAAAATTTGCTACAATCACTGCTATTATTTTCAAAAGCATAGTGATGTGGTGCATTGTTAGACAGATATGAACAAAAACATATAATCTTGAAATGGTTTATGCCAAGTCAGTTTCTTACTAAAGTAGTTCAAATTTTGGGAGGCTAAGCAGGACCCAATTTGGAGCCGTTTAAGCACTGTGAAGTGAAAATTTAAAATTTTGCATCAGTCTATTGACCATTTATTACTCAAATTTAAATGAACCGCGATAAAATCAATCCGATCCAGCCTCGGTTCACTTCCCAAGTCTGGAATTTAGCATATAGAAGCAAACGTAGTCTAATGCAGCTAAACAGGCTTATTAAGCTTTGAAACCGTAATAATGCTTATTGCATTATTGCGCCATGGTTGCAGCATGATGATCTTTTATTTCTTAGGGAAGTGAAGGAGCCTTCCAGTCGAAAAAACATTTATCATGTCGTGAATTCAACAGTTTAAATTGGAATCATATTTTTCCCTTGATTTGTTTTCCGTCGATCTTGTTTTCCGTGTAGAGCACCAATGCTACTGACGCCAAGGAGGCAGCTCCCACACCTACTTATCAACCCATCAACTCATGAACCGGGGACCAACGGCTTTACTTCCCTTCGGAAGGAAGGCGTGATCAGAGATGTTATGCCTCAGATCATCCCGGTGGCACCGACTGGGATTGAATCCAGGCCTGCTGGGGTGAGAGGTAATCACGTTTATCAGTACACCACCGACGTCACTGAGGCATTTTTCTAAAATTGCTATAATGTATTACACACTCAACCAAATAATCCCAATATTTTTGAGTTTTTTTTTTTAATTATCGGTCAGGTTTGGGCCGAAGGGTCCCAGAAATTTAGTAAATGTTGCCCACAGGTAGAGTTTTTGGGTATATACATGAATAAAAATAAGAATAATTAAAAAAGAACGTGTTGGTTGGCTTTTTTGGAAATTTTGCGAATTTCTCCGTACTGTTTATAATTTATAACTCATGAACCAATAATCTCAGAAAGAACATTGCATAGTGAAATGATAAGGCAATTATCTCTGCATTCCATGAAAATATTAATGGAAATAATTTTTCAGCTTATATTTTTTATGGATTGCTGCGATAATTTCCTTATCATTTCACTAAAAAGTTTTAAGCCACAATACTTGGTTCATGAGATATGGATTTTCAAAATATGTGAATTTCGGAAAAAAAAGATCAAAGGAGTATAGGTGACAGTTAGTCTATAAGCATATCTGAGTTATTTATTTACAACGGTTCACAGTCAAATTAATGTGCAGTTTTCAGTCTTCAATAGTGCTGATCGATGTTGGCGTAGCTCTCTCCGTGTGGGTGGTGGGCATGTCCAACACGCTGTACATGTGGCTGGAATCCTCCCTTGTGGTCCGAGCTGTAGTCAACGACGCGGTGGGTGCCATCGGCCTCATCCAGAGTGTACTGTCCCTTCACGACATCTCCATCGCGGTGCTCCCAAGCGCTCTTGTGATCGTGGGTGTGTCCATCCTTGACTCCGTACTCGAACTTGTACTTGGGGTGGGAATGATGGTGATCCTCATGATGACCGTGATCTCCTCCGTAGTACTGGGCAGAGGCAACAACGGCCAGACAGGCAACCAGAGCGATGATCTGTGCGCAAAATACAAATGTCCTTCGTCAGTGGTCAATGTGGATCAATTCCGATTATAATACAACCTACCTTGAACATCTTGGATTTCCTGTGTAAGGTGGGACTTGAAATGATGTGTGTTAGACTGCTTTGTGTGAACTGATGCCAGATCTAATTAGCAGTGGAACTTTTATACTGGTTGGTGGCTTATGGGTTTGTTTGTTATTTTTCATTTTCTGCTTTGACTATATTAGGATAGGTAATGTTTCTTTAAATACATTCGTCTGCAATCTTAAACTGCTGTGTCAAATTATGCCTTTTTTATTTTGATAACTGTAAGACATTAACTTTTGTGGTTTATCATGTGGGAGGACCGCATTCAGAATATCATCAGAATGGTGAGATCAAGTCAGAAATTTCCTTTATAGGAACATTCTACGTTACCGTTACAACAAGTTTTTGTACAGTAACTGAAAAATATATATAAGTTACCAATTAATATTATTGCCAATTTGGTAAGTGCATAACATTTTTAGTAATAATTGATAAAGAATTTTTGATTGGAGCAGCTCAAAACGATTTGGTTAGTAGTTCTTGAGTAGAGTAGTTGAGAAGTGCAAATCGTTGAAATGTCACGAAATATCCTCACTCACCAAATCATTTTGAAATACTCAAATTATAAACTATTGATCAATTCTTATTGGCACTTTATCACACTTTTCAAATATTTAATAATATTTGAGGGT